CATAACTTATTTGGTATATACTTGACCCGACCCGACATGGTCCATTTGGGTTGCCCTTCACCCAAACTAGTTATGGATAATTTTATGAGAGTTGTATACTTACGATTTATTAATATATTATAAGTTATAATATATTAATATAAAGTCATGTTACTTAATTAGTTTTAATCTTGAATTAATTATGAATTAATTTAGTGATTAAAAGGAAGACTAATTAATCATGGGCTATTATATTTATATGGTGTGGGCTAACACTCATTTGGGAATGGGCTAAGCTTATAGGGAAGTCCATGGATGATCCATGGAGCTTTTACCCATGGATCCTTGGAAGAGGAAAAGACATGGGTTATTAGGGTTTCACCCTAACCATGTACACTATATAAACAAGCTTATGATGCATGAAAAAACACCCTGACCCGGGATAAATGTGTTTGTAAGTGTGGTGGCCAAAATCAAGAGTTAGTATACTCTCTCATACATTTTCCAAGTTTGTGGGATTTGTGATTTCCATTTGAGGCATTCACATTTTGGTGCTTGGCTCTCAAACTCCAAGGAATCAACAATCAACAAGGTATGTAATTCATCTAGTTCTTTTATGGTTAAAAGTACCCATGCCATGCTAGATAGGTTATAAACCTTCGAAAATAATATTTTGCATGTATCTTAGACAAACATAGATCCAAGGTTTAATAGGGTTGCATGTACACTTAGGAAGTGTTAGAATGCTCAGAACCCAACAGTGGTATCAGAGCCTAGGCTTGTTTGTTTTGATACTTGATGCAAAATAGTGAAAAAAGTCGAATTTTGCTGTCTGCCTGATGAACTCCCGAGTCCATGGGGGGACTCGCCGAGTTCATGAGTAAACTCATCCATCCTACCTCGGCGAGTAGGTTCGTGCACTCGGCGAGTAGGAGCTCAGAATGCAGATTTTCGACTTTTGCTGCTGGAAATGGACTAGAAACATTACCCTAAACTGTTTTGGTGTTTTAAAACTTGTTTTAGTTGGTGTAATGGTTGTTCTAATCCATTTACAATTGCTTATATCAAAATTTCATGCTTCGTATGTGTTCATATAATTCTTGAAACTTTGATGATCATGTTCATGTTCTTATGAATTTAGAAGATGATAGGAATTATTTGCTGAATTGTTTAGGATTAATTCTTGATCATTTATGTGTTTTAATGGAGTCCATAATTTGTCTCAAGTTATGGATATCCAAAGGTCACTTCTTTGAACACACACTTAAACACATAAGTTACATGGAAATGAAGAGTCTTCATTTTTATGAACCTTTAATTCATAAGTTATGAAATGAAAGGTTTTGAATAGTTTCAAAACTTGTCCTCAAGTTTTGGAATTTGTAAAGTTACACACACTTTAATATACTTTAATTCCAAACCCTTAGAGTTTTAAAAGTTAAAATTCACACCCTTATACTATTTATATCATTAATGGTTAATTATTATATATGTATAAGATCAAAAAGTCGTCTTACCGCTAGTACGCCTCATTCACGAAGCCAGTCTATAAGGTGGGTATAAGGTTGTTGCCTATAAAATGGCACTTATGGGTGTCCACTCTCACCCACCGCTTGCTTGATGGTGGAGGGTCGTTAGCCGAACGGGTAGGACAGGGACTTATGAATTCTCATTAAAAAGTATGATGAATATTATAAAGTAAACTAAACCTTATATAAATTCCCAATCTTAGTTACTTTAGGAAAATGTGAATATGGTGCTAACCCATGAAATTCACACTTTGTACCTTACCAAGTCGTTGGTAGAGCGTGTGTGGTTAACCGGCACACTAACTTGGACTAGTAAGGATCACGAAGGGTGACTTAATGTTTATCATAGATCGGTGGAGCGTGTGTGGTTAACCGGCACATTGATTAGGTGATAATATTAAGGGTACCAAGTGAATTTGCATGGTTATTCACACCCTTGTTTTGTGATCCTCGGCATCCCAGTCACAAAACTTGAAGGGCACAATCGAGATTGAAACATGCCATTGAAAATTTCAATGAATCTCAAAAGAATCTAGGAATTTCAAAAAAACCAATTAAACCTAATAATTCATTTCGTTTTCATGGTGGAAATTGGTGAACCGTCATTCACCTACCTTCAAATATGTTATAGCTTAGATTACGGCATCCCTCTTCTAAGTTATAATATATTGTGTTGGATCCTAGCCTTAATATTACATTTGGGTGTATTATTAAGGATTCGACATATATCTAATCTAAACTTGTTTTCTTCTTTTCAGATGTCTTCCGACAACAAAGCTTCGGGCTCTAACCCTACTGGCTCCTTTTCCCTCATGAACCTTTGTGGGAGGGTCATCTTTGATGGTTCCAACTTCATTGATTGGATCCGCAACATCAGGATGGTTACTCGTTACGAGGACAAGGAATATGTCCTCGATAAGGAGCTAAAGGAGCTTGATGAGTCCACTGCTACTCCTGAGGAGGTCGCTGAGTATCAGGCACATGAAAGAGATGCCACCTTGGTGGCATGCATCATGATGGCCACCATGACAGCTGAACTCCAAAAGTCCTATGAGGACTATTACCCTTTTGAGATGCATCAGGATCTGATGGAAAGGTACCATCAGAGTGCTCGTCAAGAGCGGTATGAAATAATCTCCCCATGATCACTACCCGTATGAAGGATAGCGAACCAATCACGAGCCACATGCAGAAAATGCAAAGGTATGTGGACCGTCTAATGAAACTGAATGTGAACTTCCCTGAGGAGTTGGCAATTGATATCATTTTCACTCCTTGCATCGTGTTATGATCAATTTCGTATGACATACCACATGAACAAGGAGGAAGTCACACTCAGTAAGCTTCAAGGACTTCTGAAGACTGCCGAAAGTGGTCTTAAGAGTAAGTCGGTTGCTACTCCTACTCCTACTACTACCCCTGTTTTGGCTATCGGGCAAGGCAAAGGGAAGAAGAGGAAGCACCCTTCGAAGGGTACCAAGGGAAAGTCCCTTGAAGGCTCCTCATCTGGAACCAAAGGTGGTTCTATCACTCCTTCTGCCATCCCTAAGGATGCTGAATGCTTCTACTGTCAAAATAAGGGGCACTGGAAGCGAAACTGCCCAAAGTACTTGCAGGATGTCAAGGATGGGAAAGTGAAACCATCCCATGCAGGTATTTACACTATATTGTCTAATAACTCACCATATTCTAATTCTTGGGTTCTTGATACAGGTTGTGGTATTCACATCTGTTGTGACTTGCAGGGCCTAAGAAGAAGTGAGGATGTGGAGCACAGAAAGATAAACTTAATCATGGGGAACAAGAAGGTTGCACCTGTTACCAAGATTGGAGTTTATACTTTGTTGCTAGATAGTGGGTTAAAGTTAGATTTGAATAAATGTGTGTACTCGTCTGAAATGGCGAGGAATATTATTTCCTTTCATGCTTTGTACAAACAAGGTTTTACCTTTTCTTTTGATAATGAAGTTGGTAGTGTTAATGCTTTCTTTAATAATGTTCTTTATTTTAAAGCATTACCTTGTGATGGTGTGTATGAAGCTGTATCGGTTGTAGATAATTTAGGAAATAATGTATTATGTATTGATTCTTCTACTAGCTTGGATAAAGCATCTTTGTGGCATTGTCGTCTTGGACATGTAAGCAAGAAACGCATAGGCCAGCTCCAAAAGGATGGAGTCTTGGAGTCGTTCGACCTCAGTCGGATGATAGTTGTGAGTCTTGTCTACTTGGAAAAATGACAAAATCACCCTTCACTGGTACTTGTGCAAGGGGTGAGGGTTTGTTGGACCTTATACATACTGATGTATGTGGACCATTCAAAACCGCCACAAGGGATGCTAATCGCTATTATGTGACTTTTATTGATGATTTTAGTAGATATGGTTATGTCTACTTAATCAAACATAAGTCAGAAACTTTTGAAAGGTTTAAAGAGTTTAAACAGGAAGTAGAAAATCAATTGGGCAGGAACATTAAGATGCTTCGATCCGATCGAGGTGGTGAGTATCTTAGTACTGAGTTCCTCGACTATCTTAAGGAGTGTGGGATTGTCTCACAATTGACACCTCCCAGGACACCACAGCTGAATGGTGTAGCTGAGAGGCACAATCAAACTTTGTTGGACACGGTTCGCTCTATGATGAGTCGAGCTTCGCTACCAATCTCTTTTTGGGGGTATGCCTTAGAGACTGCCGCCCACATCCTTAATCTAGTCCCTACAAAGAAGGTTGCCAAAACACCTCATGAAATGTGGACTGGGAAAGTTCCCAATCTGGACCATATCAAGATTTGGGGTTGCGAGGCTTTCGTGAGGCACGAACTCATGACAAGCTCGAACCTCGAAGTGAAAGGTGTATTTTCATCATCGGCTACCACAAAAATCCTTTGGTTACCTCTTCTACAGACCCAACGAGAATGTGGTCTTTGTGGCTAGGAGAGGAGTCTTTCGAGAGAGAGAATTTATAAGCCAAGGAGACAGTGGGAGGAAAATTGACCTTGAAGAAATTCAAGACTCAATTGGTGAAGGAACCTCAGACACTAGCAATCAACTTGAGGAGGAAATTCCTGTTGATCCAGCTGACGAGTCTATACTTCCGAGGCGTTCCACAAGGGTTAGGAACACCCTGAGTTTTATTATGGATTTCATATTACTACGGAAGGTGATACATTTATCAGTGACAGTACACTGGTAAATCTGGATGAACCTAACAGTGTTAAGGAAGCCATGGCAGGCCCAGAGTCTGCTAAATGGAAGGAGGCTATGGACAGCGAGATACAGTCCATGTATGACAATTAAGTTTGGAACTTGGTTGACAATGTACCAGGCCGTAAGACAGTCGGGTGCAAATGGATCTTCAAGAAGAAGACCGACATGGATGGGAAGGTGCACACTTATAAGGCTCGACTGGTTGCGAAGGGTTTACTCAGACTCAGGGTATTGATTATGATGAAACCTTTTCACCAGTAGCAAAGATTAAATCTATTAGGGTTATGCTAGCCATTGCTGCATTTCATGATTATGAAATATGGCAAATGGATGTCAAAACCGCTTTCCTTAACGGAAAGTTGGCTGAGGATGTTTACATGAATCAGCCAGAAGGTTTTGTCAGTGCAGAGTACCCCAATAGAGTGTGCAAGCTTGAGAAATCCATTTATGGATTGAAACAAGCATCTCGAAGTTGGAATCTTTGTTTCGATGAGAAGGTCAAAGAGTTTGGTTTCTCAAGAAGTGAAGATGAGTCCTGCGTGTATGTCAGAGCTAGTGGGAGTATAGTTAGCTTTTTGGTACTGTATGTGGATGACATACTACTCATAGGAAATGACATCCCAACCTTGCAGGAGGTTAAGTCCTGGCTTGGGAAGTGCTTTGCTATGAAGGACCTTGGAGAAGCTACCTATATCCTAGGGATAAGGATATTAAGAGAAAGGAGTAAAAGACTAATTGGACTTAGTCAGAGTATCTACTTGGATAAGGTGTTGAAAAGGTTCAACATGCAGAATTCCAAGAAAGGAGAATTACCGATCCAAAGCAATGCCAAACTGAGCAAGGCTCAGAGCCCGAGTACAGAAGATGAGATAGCTGAGATGAGTCGATTACCTTATGCTTCCGCTGTTGGTTCGATCACGTATGCTATGACTTGTACCCGTCCTGATGTGGCCTTCGCTTTGAGCATGGTCAGCAGATATCAGGGGAACCCTGGCAAGGCTCATTGGACTGCGGTAAAGAATATTCTCAAGTACCTGCGGAGGACTAAGGATTGGATCCTTACCCTTGGTGGGAGTGATGACTTGAGAGTAGTAGGGTATAGTGATGCTAGCTTTCAGACTGATAGGGATAACTTCCGCTCTCAGTCGGGCTGGGTCTTTACCTTAAATGGAGGGGCAATTACTTGGAAGAGTTCCAAACAGGAGACTGTAGCTGATTCGACTTGTGAATCAGAGTACATAACAGCGAGTGAAGCGGCAAAGGAGGCGATATGGCTGAGGAACTTCATCGGAGACCTTGGAGTTGTACCAGCTATTAAGGAGCCTATGGAGATTTTCTGTGACAGCAATAGTGCGGTTGCCTTAGCCAAGGAACCAAGAGATCATGTGTAACATCCCAATTTCCAAGCCCAATTTTTTTTTTAAAATTTAGTAACTCTCAACATAGTTTACCAAAACATTTCCCATGCCATAACATTTGCAAACAAAACTATAACAATGTGTCTGAAACTAATGGTGGCCCTGTATGAAGAGGGATGTTGCATGGGTAGTAGAGAGGTGCTTGACCTGTCACCGGGTTAAGGCCGAGCACCAGCTTCCGCATGGCAATTTGCAGCCATTAGAGGTTCCCCAGTGGAAGTGGGAACAAATTTCTATGGATTTTATCACCAAATTGCCGAGGACTGCGAGGGGTGTTGATGCAATTTGGGTGATTGTGGACCGGCTGACGAAGAGCGCTCACTTTCTTGCTATCAGTGAGAGCTCTTCTGCGGAAAGGCTGGCAGAGACATATGTGAGAGAGGTGGTGTCACGGCATGGAGTGCCGATCTTGATTGTGTCAGACCGAGATGTACGTTTCACTTCCAGGTTCTGGAAGAAGTTCCATGAGGAGTTGGGTACGAGATTGCACTTTAGTAATACTTACCACCCATAGACGGATGGCCAGAGTGAGCGAACGATACAAACACTCGAGGACATGCTTCGGGCATGTGTTATGGACTTCGGTGGAAGTTGGGACACATACCTACCTTTGGCTGAGTTTTCTTACAACAACAGCCACCATTCGAGTATTGGTATGCCTCCCTTTGAGCTTTTATATGGGAGGAGGTGTCGGACCCCCATCTGTTGAGGAAAGGTAGGGCAGCGAGTGATGGGTAGCATTGAGATAGTGCTTAAGACGACTGAACAGATACAGCAGGTCAGACAGAGGTTACTGACAGCCTAGAGCAGTCAGAAGAGGTATGCGGATAGGCGGCGATCCGAGCTCGAGTTCTAGGTAGGAGATTTCATACTCCTGAAGGGTATCTCCTTGGAAAGAAGTGATCCGATTCAGGAAGAGGGGCAAGCTGGGGCCCCGATACATTGGTCCGTTCAAGGTAACCGCGAGGGTGGGTAAGGTTGCATACCGTCTGGAGCTACCCGAGGAGTTGAGTCAGATCCATGATACCTTCGACATATCCCAGTTGAGGAAGTGTATAGCCGATGAGACGGCGGTTTTCCCGCTAGAGGATATTCAGGTGGATGCGAGTTTGAATTACATTGAGAGGCCGATCACGATCCTGGATCAGAAGATCAAGGTTCTAAGGAGCAGAGATGTGCCCCTGGTTCAGGTCCAATGGCAACATCGGAGAGGGTCCGAGCTGACTTGGGAGCCGGAGACGGAGATGCGGGAGCAGCATCCAGAGTTGTTTGCAGAGTGAGACTTCGAGGGCGAAGTCTGATTCTAGTGGGGGAGAATTGTAACATCCGGATTTCCAGGTATCATAATTTAAGTATTTATTTTTGAGTTAAGGAGAGGGACTCGACGAGTTGACGCCTAAACTCGTCGAGTAGGATCGCGACTGCTGACTAGGATTAATGAATGGACTCGATGAGTTGGCGAGTCGACTCGACGAGTCCGCGCTGTGGACAGAAACCCTAAATCTTTGGGCCTGTGCCCTATTTAAGGGTCCTTATGGCCTTCATTGGCGGCCACAAACACACTTGAGAGGCCTTATTGAACCAGAGAGCACAGAGTGAGAAAAAGGGAGCTAATTACACCATTTTAGTGCATTCTTGCAAGGAAGGAAAGGAGATTCAAGCTAGGCTGATTGGAGGGGGCTCAGATCTGCTATCACTTCATCAAGGGTTGCTGTTTGAGGTATAATTTTAGGCCTGTTCTCGTATGTATAGTAGATTCCATGAATCTTGGGTTTCCTTACCCCTTTTTAATTGAGTATTGGAGCATGTGAAGTCCCAATGAGGAATAGACATTGGATCTTGACCTTGAGAGGTCCATAGAGTCCCAATCATCCAGCTTTATGCAGTCCCATAAGAGTTTTGGGTCTAGGTGTCCATTTTAAGTGTTATTTCATCAAATAGGGCCATATGTGCGATGCGTGAACATAAAGTTCGGACCTTTACGTGACTTTTGGATGTTAGAAGGTCAGATCTATAAGTTAGAGAAACAGATCTGACCTCAGAAGGTCGTTTGAGCATTCTCATGGAGGAAACTCGCTGAGTCCATGAGAGGACTCGACGAGTCAGATTGTGTTGCACCACGATTCGTGATCAGTGGTAACCCGTCGAGAGAAAGGTTAACTCGACGAGTCGAGTGAGGCCTTAGGAGGATTCAGAGGACACGCATGGACTCGCCGAGTCACCCGAGTGCACTCGACGAGTCTGGTCAAAGTTGGACCGTTGACTAGAGTTGACTTTTAGGGTTTGGTCAACATTTGGACATTGGACCATTGGATGGGTAAAATGGTCTTTTCCCCTTCTGAGGGATCATAGGAAGAGGTTTGTCTAGCCTATGAGAATCATTGTTAATTAGAGGTAAATTACTTTATGTGATTAGGCGGAGGCTAGATCAGTGATTCGAGTTCGAGACTTTTCGAGGTTACCCGAGGTGAGTCTTCTCACTATACATTACCTAGAGTGGTACCTATGTACAGACCGGAGGGTCTTATGTGCTATGTATATGTTTGAGTTTATGTGCATTGTCATTTATGTATGCTATGTGTTATATAGACCGGACCGGAGGGTCCAACGATTTAGACCGGACCAGAGGATCCAACGATTTAGACCGGACCAGAGGGTCCAATGATTTAGACCGGACCGGAGGGTCCAACGAGCTAGACCGGACTGGAGGGTCCAACGAGCTACGGGACTGGAGGGTCCCGCTGGCCGGAGGGTCATACCGAGTTATAGCCTCGAGTGGCTTATGTGTTGTATGTGGTATTTTGGGGAACTCACTAAGCATTTATGCTTACCGTGTTATGTGATATGTGTTTCAGGTACGAGCGATGATCGCGGGAAGGCGCCGGCATGAATTGTACACACTGACAGAGGATTTGTATTTGAGATTCTGGGATGTGTTTTACCATGATAACATTGATACACTTGAGTTGAGATGATTTAATGAGTTATGTTATGTTTGAAAAATGAAAAATTGTTTTGAAAATTTCGTCATTACAATATATATATATATATATATATATATATATAATATATATATATATATATATATCCCTCTCTTTGTCTATCTCCCTCTCTCTTTTCCCTCCATCTCTCACTATCTCTCTCTCTCTCATGATCTATCTCTTAATTCACATTTAATCTATCAATGTCCCTCAATATCATAATTTATATTTCTCAATATTAATAAATATATCTATTAAGATCTATCTCTTTCAATGGAATTCAAGCTCTTTATCCTAGTGTATCACTTGTTCATGAATAATGTATATATCATGATCTATCTGCTAATCAGAATTAATCTATCATTTATAATGTACTTCTCGATAATTATTTAACTCATAAGAATAAATAATTTCTTAACAATAATTGATTATCTCAATGTCTATATAATTCATATGTCACATATCATATATATCATAAATATCACAAATCAAATACAACAATTACTCAGACATGATCTATCTTTTAATATAATTCATCGCTCAATCAATATCTATCTTTCAATCAGATATCAATCTCTCATGATAATCAATCTTTCTAATATCAATCCATTACTCATTATTAATTAATCAATTTTGATTATATAAAGTATATCACAGATAACACATCAATGGATGTCAGAGTACTGTTACTCACCTAGTTAGTCAGTAGACTTATTCTAGTTCCTAGTTTAATCTTTCTCTACCTATCAACTCGTCATGTGGTAGCACCTAATCATTAAATAACAAGTTTCTTAAAACTTGTCATAACTCACTACTAGCTACTCTCAGGAACCTCTTTTCACCAAACTAATCAAATCTCATAATATTAACATAACAAGCCTTTAGTTAAATATCTAATAACGGGTATTTCATAAATATTAGGATTTATAACCCTTACAGTGTTGACTATATCTTGAATCATAAGATTTACTCACTGGTTTGTAACAACACCATATCACGAATACCCATAACTTATATTAGGGTCAAATATATTTTAATAAGTATAACATATTGAAATCATAAATTAACGGGTAAAAGATACCTCAATTCATCTGGTACTCGGCCCCGTAACGCCCATACAATAGCATAACATCTTTAGTATAATCTCGTGAGAATGGCTCTCGAGCAACATCTCCGATCATGTTCCAAAAACTCCCCAAATGATACAAACACTCGGTTTTACACTTTAGGCATCGCCATGTAGTGGCCTTCATATTTTTCCACGTATCACACTCTTTGTCCCTGTATCACAAATGACTCATCAAGCGTAACGTCGTGGGGGATCAATTTCCACGTGTCACTCTCACGTTGATATGTGTCTTAGTGACTCATACTTATTGCCACGTCGTGGCAAATTAACTCCACATTGTGTGAATCAAAAGGTTACCGTTGACTTGATTTTTGTTGATTTTCTCAAAATAGCAACCATACTTTCATCTAAACTTCAAACGAACATAACTTTCTCATACGAACTTCGTTTCCGACGATCTTTGAATCTATGAAATCCTCTCAACAAGCTCTACAATATTCATCAAATATCTTTTTCTAAATAGCATTTCTCAATTTAAAGTAACCCCATACTCTATCTCTCCTACTCGTCTCATAACATTTTATTTTCTGAAATGATACTTAGTCTCGGAAGACAAACATTATAGGAAGGGCCTGACATGACTACACAACATCCCCTAGCTTTTTCTGCATCGAGTATTTACGACTTTTACTCTGATATGTAAATGATATGATCACTTGATGGGTTTTGTAAAAAACATTTGTATTCTTTATGGTTTTAAAAATGAAAATATTACTATGACGTTTTGAGACGTTACAACCGTGCTACCGATAGATCACCGCTTCAATTGCAGTGTTGTTGTTGGCCGCCAAAAACATAGGGTAGAGCAGGAGTATGCTTGAGGAAGGGTTGATTTGTGTTAAGGATTCACTAACATGTGTTTT